GTATAATGTAATATTTTTTCTCCCCCTTTATTTTTCAGTCTAAATTGCATAAGTGGTATTTTCAAAATTGAATTTGTTTGTGCTAAAAACCATGCAAGATTGACTTAATCTCTTCTTTCTTAAAAAGACCAAATATATCGTTATTACTGCAATGTGTCGCGATATTATGAAGTATCCGCGTTCCCATATGTTGTGGTTTTACGCATTCAGTAACGTGTGTGAGAATTTTTAACGACAGGCGGTGTAACGATTGTCAATTGTAAAATCTTCACCTTTATTGTCTAGGTACTTGAAAAAGAGAACTATTAGAACTAAAAGCCGGATTTAAAACAACAATAAACAAATCAATAAATCAAGTTTTTCTTATTGTAACTCGGCTAAAATACTCATACACACATATTTTGAGATTGGACTACTAAATAAATACTCGTAGACGTTGTATTAGAAAGACAATGAGGTAGTCATATCTTCATATGACCACTAACCTCACTCTCCCTGAGCACGCCATTGTTTAAATTGTTGATAATACTTGTAATTTGAATTATCGGTCGGTTGACTGTGGCCATGTAGCTGCATCGGAAATGTTGCCGATAAAAAAAAGTGCATCAGGAAAACATTATAGTTTGCGCGTTATAACTATTAGTGAGGAAATATTTTAGTGGAAAGACTGTAATCGTACGTTCGTATCTATATAGAAGTGCTTCTTAACATATTTTTTAAAGTTACCGCCTCGACGATCTTTCACCATCTTCCACTCCACCAGTATAAAAATCCCGTAATCATGAGCAAGAGAAAGAGAAAGGAAAATTCTGTATTGTAAAGTAAAAAATAAAATAATAATACACTTTAAGAGTTATTTTTATTGGAAAAATTTAAAATTGAAAGAATACCCAAAAAATAACTTAATTTCTTTTCATGATATTCGTTCCATTTTATATGCAAGGACATGTTCACCACCCCCCACAGTCCAAAACATATTCACGATCTACTGCCTAAAACGAGTTTACCGCTCCATAATACCTTTTCAACGCCTCCTTAGGAGAGTTATCTCCCCGCTGAGAACCACTGGCGGGCGGTAGTATACGCGGATAAAACGATTATTTAGGCATACCATTTACTATGCCTATCGGAAAGTTCGACTCTTGAGGTATTATAGGTACACAGGTAAGTGTAATAGGGACCCTTTTCAACGACGACGACGGGATAATAATATAATTGACCTCGGACAAAATCAAACGGAGTGCGCGGCCGCCGCAGGGCTCGGGAACCTCGCGATTATTTCGTACAACGCCGTCGCCGCCGCCGCCGCCGCCGTACACGCAAGTGACACACACAAAAATAGACGCTACACCAGCAGCACTCTGGCTAGGTGCAGAAAACGAAAAAAAAAAACGACGTTCCGGACGCCTACGCATTTGACCTTCCCGTTTTGACAAGACCGTAAGGATATTTTACGCCGGCAAGGTCAACGCGGGCCGTAAATTATTATAAAACACCAACACTACACTATTATTTCACTATACGCTTGTACATACACCGCCGCCGATGAAGTACGATCTATTAATATAAACAATATGATGTTATTTTTCGAGCTATAAAAGTTTAACGTAATCGCCACCGCCGCACCGTACGAACCGAAACAACGCGTGCATGACCTGCGCGGCCGTTATAAAAGCAAAAAGAGAGCCGACACTAATGTGAATTTTATCCACATATAAAACCAAGTAAAAACTAAAAAAAACCTCGAAAAATTTTAAATGGCTTTTGAGCCAAAAACACCGCCAGATTATTTTGAACGATTGTACCACCGACCACGTCAAGAAAGTGCTAATATATATAAATATTCGGTAAAAATTTCTAATCCCTACGATTATTTTTAAATGTATTACAACAAAAAAACAAATAATTTAATTTAATTAATTGATAAAAAAAAAAAGACGAACACACTTCGCACGATGTGTGGACCACTGTTATAAATGAGAAGTTGGGAAAGTATATTAACGGATATATTAACGGAAATTTAATGTATATCTGTACCTAAGCAAATTTAAGCATTGCCAACAAAAGACGATTCTAAGCGGTGCTCGGTTAATAGTATTGCTCATGGACGTTTTTAACAATTTCCAAAGGAGAATAATTAAATATCAAAACAGTTAAATAAACAATTGGTTAAAAACTCAAAATATACACGTCAATTAAAAATCAATTTCATCAACGAAGTATAATAAATATGTTTATATAAAATAAATATTATGAGTACAACTAATGACGAGTATTATAGTAATTTATTCTTTTAAGTGTGTCAACCGATTCACTGAAGTCCGCGTTTTTTTTTTTTTTTTATACATATTTACGACTTGTCAATATATTTGTTTACACGTCCTCTCGTCAACGGTATAGAAAAATGTTTTCTTAAGAGGGTACCGTACCTACCTAAAATATGTACTCGAAAATTCGTAAACTAACCACGCATATTATAACATCAAATAATGAATAATAAAGGAACCGCCGACGATAATCATTATTTTTTTTTTGTTTAGTAGCAACGTAAAATATAAATTATTAAGAGAACATGTGTATTTTTGTTGTCACCGTATTGAAACGCACGATAAACGCAACTTTACGTTCTATAGAACCAATTTTGGATTCTAAGTTTCGATATTAGAGCGATTGGACCTACTATCAAACTTAAAGATAAGAACATTATCTACGTGTATATGTTGGTTTTTTTTGTTATTTTAATTTTTAAACGAGTTTTTAGTGTGTAAAATATCATAATTTAAAATGTTATATCTTGCATAAAAATATCGGAAAAACCATCGTATAAACATAGCCACATGGCCCATAGGTAATTTTCTTACCATCAAGTTTGGTAAAAGGCCAATTAAAACTAAAAACATAAAATTTGTTCTGCTGGACGTAATAAATCTGCCATGCGTTTATAAGATGGAGGCAACCAGTGCATGCGTCCTCTTATAAGAATATTCAGTTGATTTATATTATGAGGAAATTAAAGGATATAGTTACAAAAAAAAGTATACTTTCGATGATTCTATTTTTTCATACATCAATCGTGATCAAATACATAAACGGAACTACGGAATAGGCCAGTCAGGCCATGAAATGTGTTATTGGCATATAGAGCAGAAACAATGTCTACAATTTTCGAGAAATTTTCAATTATACAATAATTGAAGTTAATAAAATAACAAAATCGCTTGAAGTTATTATTAAAGAAAAAGTTAACAGTTACAAATTATGCAATGTTAGAACTTTAATTATATAATTTTTCTAGAATTAATACATCAATACAATTGTATTGTAATAACCAGAATCCTTCAATGAATTATTTATTGGTTGCAATAAGTGAAGTTAGGAAACTTCGTTCAGGTTTACAAAAATTCCATTGCAATAATGATTTCTATTATAAAACATACACAATAGTTTTAAAAAACTGTTAAGAAAAATAAAAACAAAACATTTTGATGACAACATAAATAATGAGCGTATTTTCAATAGATACAAAAAAAAGAAATTCGTATTACTATATTGATCCCCCCACGTAAGATTCTCCCCACGTATGATATTGATCAAGGTGCAATATCTTTAATTACAGTGGTCAGGAAAATTTTAAAACTCTGCTAAAATAAAGGTTTTATTAAATTGTTACCAACATGTTTTGATATTTCTGAAGATAAATTAAAAACTAATATCCGTTTACTTTTTATAGATTGTGTGACAAATCTTGTTAAACAAGATTGTATCAAGATGATGATGAGGCTAAATTGATTCCAAAATAATTAAATTGAAGATAAAAATAATAATTTTCCTCGGATTATTAGAGATTATTGTTTGATTCCAGTAACCAGTACTTTTTGTGAAAGAGCATTTCCTAAACTCACTCATATGAAATCTAAACATTGATCCACCATAAATCAGAACTGTATAGATGATCTTATTCTACCATACACGGAACAGCCAAAAGCTAATAACGTTGATGTTGAGCAAGTCATTGAAGAATTCAAAAAAATTATTACCATTTATTATTATGTTATCAAAACCTTACTTACGAGTATTTATATTTATGTTTTATTTAATATTAAATACTTAATTTGTAAAAAAAATTGTATTACATAAAATAAATTTATTAAATTACCGTGTAGATTTGTTTTAGAATTTGTCTTCGTATTTATCATTTGGCCTGCCCTAATACAAATTTTCTAATTTCGTTTATGATTTTATATATACCTATATTGTAATAATAACATAGTATAAGTGTACGAACGCAATGTAAATCTATTTTTATACACTTTAATATGAGTCTAATTCTCCAATTCACCTCTTCATCTGTAATAAAAAAAATAATAAACAACTTTTTTTAATACAAGCATTATTTAGAGGTAGTTGATCTTCGGAAAAGGCTAAACGAAAAATACCTAACTCGCTGCAATGTATTTGGTATCGTTATATATTTAACTACCTATTACCGACACATAGATATACTTATATGCCTATGCCTATTACATTATATTATTGATATTACAATTAAATCGTTCGGACCAATAAGCCTTTACCAAATATCGAAAAAATAGGAGCATCAAAAAAATAAAAAGCTGATACTGCTGATGGGTGAATAATTGTTGGGACGTAGAATGTATAAAGTTATTTAGTTTATAGATATCTGTTAGAATTTTGACATTTATTTGCAAACCATATGAATACATTTCGACCACTATAGATTAAATAAATATAATAATTCATTAAATCAAAAGCAAGTAAATATATAATATAATTTACACAACGTTTGTTTGAAGTTTATTTTTAAAAATTAAATTTAAATTATGAGCAGTTATTATTATTATTTTTCTTTCTTTTTGCTTTACATAGGACAAAGATTCTTTAAAAGTTTAGTCGCCGGGCATCAGCCTCGTAATATTGTCTCGTTTCTCGTATATGTTTACCTAATGATAATGGTTACTTACTGTTTTTTTTACATGTTTCTCCACTTGTTCGTAGTTTTTTAGTTTTTTTTGTTTTATTGTATTTTCAAACCTAAAGAGCCTCTATTCTTGAATTATATTGTTAAATATAATTTCCATAAATAAGTACAGGTAAGTGTATACTATTCGACGAGACCTTGAAAAATTAAAACGTGACATCAGTGAAGTTCACAATGTATACTTAGTGTTCACTTTTCGTTCGATTGACAAAGGGCTCAGCTAACTAAATAAAATATGATAATTTAAATTAATCATCCTTGAGGGAATCAAATCTTATTATGATTATTATCGTAAAATATAATTGGGTGTACAAAAAGCATAAATTCTTGAGATTTAAAATGTTTGTTCAACTATAATAAGCGTCCAAACTGATTGTATTATTATGTTCTTCGGTCGCACAAATATTTTATTGAAATCCAGTCCAAAATATCTGGAAAAAAAAATCAAAAAATTAAATATATCCTATCCAAATCCTAGTATGACCTAAGAATTGGCCATTAGGTAATATAGATAATATAAGAATCAAGGGAACAAATAACGATTACTGGCATTCGAATTCACCTTTAGTTACCAACGCGCCTAATATTGTGACAAACTACATTGAACTATAATTTATTTAATATAAATTATAAGTAGCCAGGATATAATGTTATACAGTATATATCTCTAATTATCTATATCTCTAATTTGTTCTATTATTTGTAATTTTTGCTGACAAAGAATTAATAAATCATATTGTAATAGTTGTTTCTAAATATTATAGGTAAAGTGAAAATGAAATGCAAAAATCTATTAATTTTTTATTTCTATGGAAATGATAAATTATACAAAAGCGGTAAAATAATAATATTTTTTCTTTTTTCTTTTATATTGATTTCATATTAAATACACCTTTCGTACCTATTTACTTGTATATTTTAAAGTAAACATATACAAATATTTACTTAGACATAGGTCTCTTATGTTGTAGTATGGTTCTATAAAGACCATACCGGTCTGGTAAGGACTGGTATTGTCTGGTTCAGACCGGCCACCTAATAAAAACAAACATAATTCAAATTTTAATTTTCTCACTGTATACTATACTATCATTGCAAATATATTCATTTTATATTTTAAATTATCGCTAGTCGACAAATTTTTCTAATTGCCTCATAGCACTCTGCCAAAAGTTAAAATGACGTCAGGTTTTTATACGTAGATATAAATGGTATAATATTATAACGATTAAATTATTTATATATAAATATCCAAATTTAAATATTATACTCCTTCCTAAAATGTACATTTGCAATATTTTGAAATAAATGTAAACAGCACTTTCAATGAAATTGTTGGAAAGTTTAAAATATGTATAATATCTCTATAAAATGATAGGAATTTAATATACTTACTATAATACCGAATACTTGTATGACTCCAATGATTCTTAAAGTGATAAACTGCAGAATTAATATTTAATTATCCAGAGCCAGACGACCATTTATACATATTATTTCAATATAAAACATTTCAGTATTTCAATTAACTATTGCACCTATAGTATTTTCATAACTTATAAATTAAATAAATTCTATGGAACATAATATATATTAATATTATATATATAATATATTATGTGCCTACTTATAGTATAGTTAGTGCGAATCTATAATAATTATTTATATTGCCTTTGTTATTAAATTTATTCAATGTACCCATTTACAATAAAGTGATTTCATATTTTAAGTAGAAACAAAATTTATAATCCAAATAAAATTTAAATGCAATCACAACGTTAGGTACCTAAGTTATAACAAACAAAACAATTATTACTGTGTTATTATTAAAGAAAATCGTCACTTCAAAAGTAGTAGGTAACAGTTTTAACGATTGTGAGAAATAATTTCTAAGGAGTATTGTCTAGGCAATTTGTCATGTTTTTAAGTAGTACATTATCTGAATATAATTTATCACTAGGTACGTTCAAATTTATTATAGTAAATATTGGATAAATTTTCCTTATTTCTTAATTTCTTATCCGTGAACAGTATTTATTTTCAGGTCCTATCAAGATAAATAGGTAGGTAGGTACTAAATGGATACGAAATATTTTATTTATTACCTAGAATGATACAAATTAAATTATCAATGCTATATTTCCTCTAACACCTTTAGTGTATTGAACTGTTAATAATTATCATTTTGTGTATACGTTTTGATCAAATTGTGTTATTAGTTACATATATTATAATATATGTATGTATATATTCTAAGTAAGTATAAAACCCAATAACTTGTAAGTCTTCGAACTCTAGGTGATTTAGTATAATATATAACAATATATCTACTAATTCTACATTTACTTCAAAGGTTTCTGAACAAAAAAATGTTATAAATAAAATTGTTTTTTTTTTTTGTTTGTCAATTCGATTTTAAATAATTTTATCAATTTAAATCAGCATACATAAAAATGATAATTAACTTTACTCAAAATGTTTTAATATTATTTTTCATTTAAATAACATTATAATAGTTTTGATTAGTATGACAATACACACTGTTGTCATGCATTAGGCTAAAATAATTTATAAACAATTTTAATTTGGTATTTCATATATTACATATATCAATATTTATATTTTAATATAAGTAAATGAGTAGATACCTAGTTATAAAATTATATCTAGCCTTTGTACACAATTTAAAGATTGTAAAAGTACCCATAACATTTTTTTTTTTGTGTGTGTATTTTATATACACACACACAAACGACTAGTTTATATATATATATATATAGTCGTAGGTAATTTAAAAACGTTTAAATTATACTTAAGATGATCTCCCTGAAACTGTTTAACCCAATTTGTTTTGCGCGACCGAGTGGAAATACTACATTGCAGAGAAGGGAGCAGGTGCGGTGGCAGAGACGTTCCGGAGACTTTGGCATTAGTTGTGCACTTCGTCTATGGAGCCGTGGAAAATTATATAAATAGCCGTTAGCCAATGGTGTTCAAATTTAGAAAATCTCATTTTAAAAACCTTAGCCGTAACGTTTGTTCACCGCACACCTGTCATAATTAACATATTCAAAAAATTGAAAATCATGTAGACAACGTAATACCTATATTATATTATACACTGCTGATTTCGTTTCATATTGTTATAATTATTATTGTAATATAATAAGAACTCAAAATTTGTCCTATAAGCTTCTAATTTTCTATGGACCTAAATATTTCTTATTATATAGTTATTGAAAAAAAAAAAACGATTATTCGAGATATTATTAACAAAAACTTTTTAAGTATAAAATTATGATTTATAGGTATTGCAGTAGTAATACCTATTAATATTCCTAATACAATATTTATAAATGTAGAGCTTAGATTTATGTATGCACTTAAAATGTGTCAAATCTGATGCAAATGTGCCAAAAAAAGGCTCTATGTACATATATTATTTTTTCCTACAAAAATTTGTTGAATATTTTATTTTATTAATTAAAACTAAAATATTATGCTGTATTTTTAAGGTTGTTGTTTTTAACTAGTAAATTTAATTATTTGATAGAAACATTTTAATGAAAATGCATAAGTAACGAATAATAATGAGTCAAACTCAATTAATCAAAGTCTAAAAGTACCTAATAATTATAATACAAAATTTTGTAAATATGTGTCTAACCAAAAACTGTAGCGAGTTTTGTTTTTAAATTACGTATGTATAACATAAAGTTGACATTGTATTACAATTTTTAAAAGTTTAAACAAATCTATATCACCAATTATTATTCCTGAAAAAAGGATGTTAATAACATATGTTTAGTAACTTAAATGCTTTTAGAAAAAAAATAGTGTGTCAACATTTTTTGGATATTTTAGTTATTATTTATTATTATTATATATTATATTATTATTATTATTATATTTATTATATTATTATTTTAGATTATTATGTTTTTATAATTTCAAATATATACAATGATCTTGTTTTAAATTTTAAATCCTTTGAATCAACTTTTTTTATATCATCTGCACGTGACTTCCATCTTTCACTCTTTAAATTATTAAATAAATAGTTATGTGCAATTGTGGTTATAGTAAATTTAATTTAATATGTATGCATTTATTTAGAAAAATTAAAATTGTAGCCTATCCATGGACATACGTTTTCGAACTATTTGAAAATGAAACTCGGCTTTTTGATTACGTATCAATTTAAAAAAAAAAAATTTGTCCTTTACTTTTATTGAAAATTGGAAAGGTGTTATTGTTTGCATAAAATATTATATTTTGCTGTATTACAGTTCTTAAAATGATCGAATGTATAATATAATAATTATAAATAAACAATGCAACTGATTAGGTATATTAACCACTCATGACCTATAAAACGAGCTTGTATAATAATATGTTGCAACATACAATAGATTACCTATGTAAACAAAAATCACGTGGTGGATACTGAATATAATATGAACAATTTTAAATACAAATTGGTTTTGAGCTCACTTTCTTAAAAAATAAAATTACCTATGATAATTTTTCAGATTCTATGTAAAATGTCCACGCATAATTTTAGATTCTAATTGTAGCGAAGAATGTATGGATTTTACTAAGATATTTATTTTTTTTTTTTACTGTGTACAAAGATTCTACCAGAAATCGTGCTCAGATCTATATGTTATGTTAAATAACTCTATATTGTCGTTCTTAAAGCATATTTCTCGTGGTCTAATGGTTATTTATGTTTATTATCATCCTAGGGGTTCCGAGTTAAAACTAGTGTAACGTATAAAAATTGTTTACATTTTGCTTAGCTTTTACCTAAACAAGGAAAAAAACAAATGCATTTTGGATATGTCGAGACTTCGGACTATTTTAATCACAAAATGTTCTGCAAACTTTTCTACTAGAAATCTTGATCCGATGTGTCAAGTGTAACTTATTTTCCAAAAGGAAATTTTATCTCTATGGTAATTTGGGGAAGTCATTTTTTGATTTTTCAATTAGTTTTTATTATACCTGGGAAACACTCGGATAAAATGTCGGAAAAACGGAAAATGTAAGAAATGAAGGTATTAGTAAGAAGAAGATATGGCTTTTTTTTTGTGGACAATTTTTCTACCAGCAATTTCGCTCCGATTTAAATGATAGCACTTTTTCTGAAAGGAAATTTAACTGGGAAGGTACATTAGGAAGGTTATTGTTTGATTTTCCCAGAAATTGTGAAAAACTAGGGAAAA